TTATGTTGCTGTTGTACCAATTCATTACTTTGATTCTGTTTCTTCCTTCCAGTCCCTATGCAGCTCTGATCAGTTCTTGACATCAGCCTCAAATATGAATACTTCAGAAGTCATCCCTGTCACTCTCAGTGTCAAAGTCACAGAATTACAGAACTGAAGGTGTTGGAAAGGACCTCTGGAGAATCTATCCCTCCAGACGTCATCAAATCCAAACCCCCCTGTTAGAGCAAGTTCCCTAGAGTAAGTTACACAGGAAAGTGTCCAGGTGAGTTCTGAATATCTCCAGAGAAGGACATTCTACTGCCTCTCTGGGCAGCTTGTTCCAGTGCTCTGTAACCTTCACAGTAAAGTTTCTCCGCATGTTTGTATGGAACTTCCTATGTTCCAGTTTGTGCCCTTTGCCCCTTGTTCTGTTGCTGGCCACTGCTGAACAGTGCCTGGACCCATCCATTTTACTACCACACTTTAGACATTTATAAACAATGATAAGATCCCTCTCAGACTTCTCCAGACTGAACAGTACCAGAGATTTTCTCCCTCCCCTTGTACAGTAGATGCTCTAGGCCCCTCACCGTCTTTGTGGCCCTCTGCTGGGGCTTCTGTCTAGAAGTTCCCTGTCTTGATGTGAGGAGCCCAGAACTTGACACAGTGCTCCAGATACAGCCTCACCAGGGCAGAGTAGAGGGTAACTTTCCTCATTCTACTGGCTATGCTCTTTGTAATGTACCCCAGGATACCACTGGCCTTCTTGGCCACAAGGCCACACTGCTGGCTCATTCCTAAGCCCTTCTCTGCAGAGCTCCTCTTCAGTAAGTCATACCCCAAGCGGTACTGATGCATGCAGTTATTCCTCCCCAGGGGTAGGACTATACACTTGCTCTTACTGGAACTAAGAATGCTCCTCTCCACCCATCTCTCCAGCCTGTCCAGGTCATGTCCCAGCCTGTTTCCACAGTCCTGACTCCTGCATGCTCAGCAAGCAAAGCCAATAGTGCTTTTTACGCTTCATTAACCCCAAGAGGACATACAAAATTTGTTTACAACAGGTTCTTGTCTGAAATGGAAAAGAGTCTGCAATCACTCAAGGTGACAAGATATAGTAGTTAAAAATAGGAAATAAACACCTTGAAAATATTGGAGATAAATTAAAAAAGTGGAATGTGAGTGGAGAAAAGTACACTTCTACAGGATTTGTGTTAGGCTCTTAATAATAGCATTTGTTCTCTAGATACTTGAAGCTTTCATCCAAGTCAGCCTGAGACAAATGTTATGTTCACACCTGGATTCTCCTTGGTAGATGGGATTAAATCTAGAATCATGTCACACAAGTCTCTATTGCCCTGAACTAAAATATTGACCCTGTTATTGAAAGCTGAAAAAAGTCAGCATTGAAACAGGAAAACCGTATGAAACTGTGAGAGAAGGAAATGTTTATGAGAGATCTTAGTGCAGTGCTACATATATCTAAGTTGATTTAACACTACCCAAAACCGAAAAGTTGCAAAAAATAACATCAGGTCTGCTTGAAATAAACATTGCCAGTTTGCTGGAAGGAGGAAGGAGGAAGAATCAGTGCGTGTCAGCCAAAACATTTTGCTTTGTACAAGGTTTTACAAAGGCCTTTCTAATAATATGTTTCTAAGGCCAATTTTCAAAATTGTCATTTGGCAATACTAAGATGTTTCTTTTTAAAGAGATTAAAATGAAACAGATTTTTCTGAAGTTTTCCATTTTTGTTGTTTAGTTTAACCAAAATGTTCTATCAAAACCAACAGAATTCACATTTTTGGTCACCTTGAAATCATTTCTGGGTCAACAAACTTTTCAATGGAAGAGTGATACTTAATTCTGCTTTAGCTCTTAGCACTAAGCTGGGAACTCAGTACACTAGACACATGAATAATGTCTAATCGTTTGTTTTTTTTTTTTAAATCAGCTACATTTTTTATCCAATTTCTTGTCTGTCCTCTGACTACAATTTCTAGATTTTTAATGCAGTAGTCTGAATGTCTTCCAAAAGTGCAAAGCTCAAATCAGTTGTAACTCCAACTATCATTGTTCAGCCTCCTTGCTGATATCTAGTTGTCTGGAAATTAACTCTCATTCCAAACTTCTCACTCACTGTTAGTGTAAATAAGACTGCATTCATTTAAAAAAGTAGATAAAAGCCGTACTCATAAATATTTTGTCACATCACAGAATTTTGCAGTGTAGAGAAGAACAGATTATAAAGCTAGCTCTAATAGGCCATAATTTGGTAGTCCAGAAACATATTTTTCATTTGTATTTTCCATAATTACAATACAAATTGACTTCTCCAAGACTGACAGCTACTATTCGGTCTCCATGCAGTCTTGGTGAGAGAGACTGCTTTCCTGTGAGTTTTACTAATAATAAATGCAACACAGTGGGACATCAGTAGCTTTGGATTTTGTGACCTATAATATTTTCTGTCAGGGACATATTATAAAATTGGTTACCACTTACTTCTTTTGATTGCCCAGGCATATGTATAAAATAAGTACAAATCAGCTAACTCTGACTTTTAATAATAAAAAAGCACTGATGTTACTCAGATTTCTACCAAAACTTGTGAAATATGCTACTGCTTTGAATAATTCAAATAACTCTATTTCTTTGGCTAAAAAAGAAGGCGGCAAAAAAAAAAACAAAAAAAAAAAAAAAAAACAGGGAGTCTTTTGTTATCTTCTGACATTTAATATTACTTATAACACTACTAGCAACATGGGATTATCACACTTAAATTCTCAACCAGGCTCCAGCTATTCCTCTGAAGAGTATCAAAAGACAGCTCGGAACGTCTGAAGATTTACACAGGCAGGAGGAAACTAAAGGGCTCTATTCTTCCTTCAGCGCTTATGTTAGCTATGCACAGAAATCCCACATATATCACCAAGAGCCTCTTGAAAGCACTGAGTGAGTGCAAGAAATGTATATACCATGATTTAGAAAATACATAATAGAAATCAGCCCCAAAATTCTGTGCTAAAAACATTTTATCCACTTCCTTGGGTTTATCTAAAATTTGTCTTGTAACATAAAATTTCTTGACTCATCAAAATGGCTGGTGAAAACTACATTGGTTGAACTCCAACCTGCTTTTTGCAGCCTTACAAGTTTATTCTAAGAAGCAAATATAAGGCAGTCTTTGCGGAAGAAGAAAGACTAATGTAGTAGCCACACTGTAGGAAAACCTTGGGGTGGATATTAACACGCAACAGATTGAGGTATATAATGCAAACTGTCCACAACTTAGGAGGTGTTTACAACAGTTTTTATGTATAACTAACAACTTCTGGCAATTCAGTGTGAGCTTCACTGAGGCTTCATTCTGAACAACCCTTTGGAAGTGCTTTTCTTCTACACTGGCTTCATAGGCTATCTAGGAGCAGTAGACTCTAGCATGAGTATCTAAATAAAGTTGCTGAGGGTAGGTAGAGTGGAGATCTCATATTAAAACTAGACCACTTTTCTTTTATTGGCACTTCCAAGGCCATTCCTCTTTTCTCTCACATTATCCTAGGGTGTAAGCAATTCGGAGAATGTATGCACCACTCTACTGCTCAGATAGATATCTCCATTCTTGCTTTACAGAAATAGAAGCACACTACTGAGAAGAAAAAAAAATAATAATCATAAAATAACTGAGGGGAACTGCTGAAAGTAGGTCTTCTTTATACTTTCCCTCCCCTTCGCCCCCGAGATTTATCCTAACAATATAGGCAAATATTCAGACACAAATGATCCTTACTAGAACTGTGCTAAGCCAGTGTGTCCTGTGCATATTTTCATAAGAAACTACTTATACAGGTGAACAGCAAAAATATCCCAAACTGAATTAATCTCATAAACACTTGTCTCAGAGCCTCCCTGTTTACAACAGAAGAGGAAAGTTTTATTTAGAATAAAGGTGATCAGGAGTTGTGTATAGAATCGCAAAATGATTGAGGTTGGAAGGGACCTCTGGAGGTCATTTCCAATGTCATCTACAGCACATTGCCCAGGACTATGTCCATGTCCAATAAGCAATTGAGTTATTGGAAACTGTTAATCATATAACCATAAATGAGACAAGTATAATGAGAAAAGGTATATATTTAAGTTATGCATTCAGGATTTATAATTGTTCCATAGAGGTCCTATGTTCTCACCCATCACATCTGCCAATTAAAATACTTAAAAGTAACTGAGCCAGCTGAAGGAAAGAGGGAAGAAAGTAACATGAAAAAGAGAATTAAAGGGGAAGGATTTTTTGTGGGATTCAAGAAAATAATATCATATTTAAATTATTTTTGTATGTAAATCTGTTCTAAATTTGATCATTAAATGAGAAGGTAATTGCTTCCCAAAGAAAATATCTTTTCTTGTTGACTATTTTATATAAATACAAATGTAAAACATATGTATCTGAAAGTAAATACACGATAAAAAATATTCTGGGCATTTGAACTACAGACTTTGCAAAGCTCATGTGTAAATTTGAACGTCTCTCATAAATTCCATTTAAATAAGTTTCACTTATACTAAAATGCTTGTTGAGCAACACCATATTTATAAACATGCAAAGAAAACTGCAGAATTTAATTATGTCTTTATTAAATCTAAATTTATGTCTGATATAAAAGAAAAGACAATCTTATCTTCAAACAGTATAAACTGCTAAATAAATAGAAATAAATTCAAAAAGGTCTGAAGATTTTAAAACATATCTAATTTTCTAACACAGTTCAGGTGCAGACCTATTGGTTGAAATGTTTTCTGGTAACAAAATCATCATTCTTTATCTAAATGATGGTGTTAAAATTGGAATAGCCTCTCATGCAACTTCACCTGATTGACAGCATATCAATGAAGTGATTTTTCTATTTGGTGTAGTTCTTCATATGTGTAACAAAAAATAAATTCTGCCTTGTACACACTTGTACTTTCCTATAACAGAGTAAAGGCCCAGACAAAATCATAAACTTTCATTTATTTATTTCATTGAGGTTTTTCTGTCCACATCAGAAGCTCTAGGGATAGTCTTCAGATTTCTGATGGGAATCCAGGTCTTAAAACTTTTGGGTTGCCTTGTTAAATCACAGACTCTCTTTGTAGATTATCTTGCTCTTAGCCAAAAGACTATATTGAACTCACATATAGTCTTTTCTACTTCAAAAATATTTATCTTTCTTCTGTACTCTGTGTCTCTGTTCATTTCCAAGTGCCAAAATCTGGTTTATTGTTTCTGCCACTAGAGAGAAACATTTTTAAAGTGTTAGTCATTACTGGCTATTATAAAAAACTCAGTAAAGTTATTTTTCTCCGTGTTGAACAGTACACAGACAAACAAGTGAGGCATTCTAAAATGCTGCATTTCAATAGCAAACCTTCATCTTTGTTTAGAGTCTATACTTAGAATGTAAAATCCCTAAGTTACCATCATCCAATATAAAGTCATAAATGTTTTTACGAGAGAAAAACAAAAAGGATTGATAAAAATAAGAGTTTTATTGTTCTTGGGTATACAGCCAAGAGCTCCTTTGTTAAAGACACTCTTACAGGTTTGTAACAGATTTGAAATTTGAATTAATTTAACTCACGTGGTACAAAGAACACGTGAACACCATTGCATTTCAGTGTATCTTCAGCAAGACTAGGAACTAAGCTAGAAAGACAGCAGAAAGCAGAAGTAAATGCAGTCAGCTGCACAAGTGGTTTAGTTTTATTCCTTTTGGGGGTCCTTTGGCAATAAAATTGTATCACTATGACAGTGCAAGCAATGTCATTGGACACAGTCCAGTGGCAGATCTGATTAACACATATTTTCCAGATACATATCTGAACTTGATATAGAAATGGCAATTTCTCCTTTTTTGCTACTGGTTTCTTCTACAGGTTAATCAAATATGGTGATAATACTGTGCCTCGTTTCCCACTTTAACTTGTCTAGTTTAAATTTCCAGTCAGTTAAACTCAAGGGTCTTCAATATCTATTATTTCTTCATTATGATTCTCCTTATCCCCAAGGATCAAGTAACTTCTCTTTCATTGTTATACTAATGGAGCCAGAACAGTGGCAAAGCACATCATGAGGCTGGGACCTCATGAAGACAGAATAGAGGGGGACAATCTCATCCTTCACCCTGTTGGCCATCCCTCTTCTGATGGAAATCAGGATACTGTTGGTCTTCTGGGCTACAAGTGCACTGCTGGCTCATAATAAGTTTTTAATCAACCAGGACCAGTAAGTCCTTTTCAGCAGGGATACTCTCAAGGATTTTTCCTCCCAGTTTGTATATGAACCTGGGACCACCTCATCCCACATTCAAAACCTTACGTGCTAGCTGGCAGTAGTACTTGTCCCCCAGGAACAGTTCAATGGACATCCTTCACCCCCCTGTAAATAAGCACTTCCATGAGCACAAAGGATTCATTCTCCATAATTAAGATCTAATTCAATACCCACTGAAATCAATGGAGGTTTTTCCACTGACTTCGGTGTGCTTCAGCCTGAGCCCTGAAACCGACAATCATCTGGTGACATTTGTGTTATATTAACCCAGCCTTTAGGAACTATATTGAGGTCTCCAACTCATTTCACATAAGCCACAAAACAGTAATAATTTTCAGACAGTGTCAACCTGACCCAGATTTGAACTGGCAATCTGGAGCTAGAAAGCACTATAATCCATTACTAGCCTTGTGAACCATCTGGTCACAATATCTCAAGCAACTTATATAGTACTTAGTATTGTAGCAGTTTACTGAAACTTGGAGGATAAAAAAATAGCATGCAAGTATATATGTGTCCATGTAGATATTTAAAAATGCTTAAGATGTATTCAAGAGAATACTTCAAGAGAAGTATGTACAAATAACATTAAGTTTCTGTCTACATATAGACTGGTGTATTAACTTCCAGTTTTTGCACTACAGTGATGATCAGTAGTGAAAAACGCAAGAACTTTAGGTAAAATCATAACAAAGGCTTTTTGACCAATTACAGTCAGCCATATGGATGCTTTTGCAGCAATATCTGCTGCTACGTGTGTATTTCTCTAAGCACACAATCACTTTGCCAGATGCATTCTTTTTTCTAGTGATATACAAAACCTGTTTTGCTATAGTCTTTTCCCACTAAGAGTTGAACTTGCTGGTTACACCCAAAATTAACTAATTTCTGCTACCATCTAAGGCTTGTATTTCATAAGGAAAATAATGGGTGCTGTTTTTTTGTTTTGCACCTTGAACACTCATCTATATTTAAGTAAAGGTGCTGTCAAATGCTACTGGGTTTAGTAGTGTTATTTTAAATCCATTTTGCAGATGGGTAAATAAGAAAAAGATTGAGAGGGAGTTTTGTATGGGACAACTAGGACCCTAAGTCTGTTCATTAACAATCATCTTTCAAAAAAATTATTTAGTCTTCAAGTACCAACAAGCAAGATCTCTGTATGATTCAATGTATATACTTCAATGTTTTAATAATCTGCCTGGTCTCAGAGCCATGCTTCATTTAAAATATATTTTAGAGTAGCAGTCAGGGTCAGTTTATAGAAGAAAACTCATTAACAATGTGATAGGCATGAAAATAAATATATTTCAAGAAACTCACACAAGAAAAGCACAGATAGAAAGGCAGACTATTTACTGAAGTCCCTTCTTCAGCTTTACAAACTTCTTTTACTAGTGCTATAATGACAGTTTCAAATTAAACACTGATGCAGCTTGGCAGTCAGAGAGTTTTGCATAACAGGTGAACGTACACCACAAAAATATTGAATAAAATTTGTGAATGTCCAGCTTTTATAAAAATAAATTCCAAACATTTTTCCAAGATTTTAGTTCTCCTCTGAAGTTCTCCTCAGTTAAGTCACACTACGCTGCACAGTTTATCCATGAGTACTAAGAATGAGCTTTTTGATCTGAATTACACTAATGTTTTTATATATTTCCAGGGACAAGAGACAAGATATAGGATATAAATCTCTCAATTTATCCCTTTACTACTTTCTCTCTGTGACTAATCAAAGGTACCTGATATTCATCTGTTTAATTCTGCAAATATTTTCCATGGAAGGTATTTTTCTTACTTCATTTGCCATCCATCTCTTGATGATGAAAAGCTCCACTACATACCAAGCAAGATGAGAACTGCAGAGAGAAAAGAAATAGCATTCTAACTAGAATAAATGATGGCAGGGGAAAAACATCTTAGCATGCAAGTCATTCTTCAGGACTTTACTGAAAGAGAGAAGCATCCCCAGACTCAGATGGATTCAGCCTCTGACTCTAGGGTGTCAGGAGAGTAACAACGTAGGGTTACATCTCAAGTGACTGCACATAAAGAGCAAAACATGTCTGACTGTGAGAAAAGATTTAAAGATGTTTGGCCTCCAAATAGGATGTTGTTAGAATCATTTTTTTTAAAACACTGTTAGAAAGTATAACAGAAAGAGTTATGCAGTCTTTGTAGAAATACCAAGGTACCAAATAAAATATCTATAGAACAGTATTAAATGAAAAACAGAAAATGTATCTTATTTCATAGCTGCTGAAATCAAAATTCTGTTTGGATATTCAAAGAGAGTAATTGATATAAGGAACCCTCACACTTGATACTCTCACAGACTGTTAATACAGTTCAGTTAGCCTCAATGCATTTATTTCTATGATAGCAGTGTAGAATATTCAAGAGAATCTCTTCATAGCACAGTTTTAAAACATATTTGACAATCATGGAAAGTAGCACCCTTTTATTTGGATCTCTTCTTAAGGTTTCTCAGTCTTTTAGTAGATGTATACACATTGCATATAGGTGTTAGGCAAGAATCGAGGTATTTTCTACTATCACTTTCTGTAGTATTTTGTTTTATCGCCATTTTTTAATAGAAAGGCAAGAATAAATCCCTTTTAATAAAAGGTGAACATAAAAATTATTGTGCAAAACAGCAAATGCTTTACTAATGAATTAAGATTCACATTCCTATTGATACATTTTTCTCTCTTGTAAAGCAAGGAGGCAAAACAGCATGAGATGTCTCACTAAAGGTCACCCAGCAAGCCAATGCCCTAGCTAGAAATAAAGGCCCTAGGTTACCTAACTCACAGTTATGTATGCTAATAATGGGGCAAACTTCTGCCAAGAGATTTGCAGAATCAGTATCTCTTCCTAAGGCCAGGCTTCTGTGGCATCACTGTGTCAATTGGAGTTACATCCCTGAAGCTATGCCACCTGGACTTCTAGCCCTAAATAGAGCAGTGAAACTAGACATTTGGTGTGGTTTGGTGAAGGAAGACAGCTTTGCCACTTCGGTAACAAACAAAACTTTGCAAATATCAACTATAATTATATTCAAAGCAACTTTTCGGTATATCAGCATTCCTAAATCCACAAAGTGTTTTCTGGTCTATGTAAATGTGTAGATGTAAATATCACACAACAATCACATCATAATCTGTCAATACCAGCTCATCTCATTAAGGCTTACAGTCTTCTGCCAAAGACAGTATTTAAGTTCTAAGCAGAAAAATGTTTAAGGTCCCTCATGCACTGATTGAAAGTAAAGCTTACTTTTGTAAAAAAAACCTACTTTGGCTAACTCTGTGTTCCATTTGTATTCACCTTCGAGAACCATCAATATGTTAAATTTTACTAGTTGAGGTAAAGGCAAAAGCAAAACCTAAAAAAATACGTGTGTAAGTATACATCAGGATTCTTCAGGAGTGTAAACTCATCAAAACCACAAAAATATTGAGTGACTCGTCTGAAAAATCTCAGTTAGCTATGAGAGAAGCAACAATATCCCCAAGCATATTCTGTAAACAGAAATAAGACTGATTTCACAGACAAATTATTCAATTCAACTTAATCACAGTGATCAAGGTCAAAGTTGCCATACATTAGTTCACAAAGTACAGGTGGTCTTTATCAGTGACATAGATGATGGGATCAAGTGCACTCTCAGCAAGTTTGCTGATGACACAAAGATGAGTGGTGTAGTTGATAGAGCAGAAAGAAGAGATGCCATCCAAAGGGACCTGAAATGTGGGCCCAGGTAAACCTAATGAGGTTCAACTAAGCAAAGTGCAAGGTTTTGCACTTGGATTGGGCTAATCCCATGTAGTATACAGACTAGGAGAAGAAATCATTGTAGTAGCCCTGCTGAGGACTTAGGGATCCCTATTATGAGGCAGCACTGTGTGCTTGCAGCCTGGAAGACCAACAGTATCCTGGTTTCCATCAGAAGAGGGGCGGCCATCAGGGCAAGGAAGGGGATTGAACCTCTCTACTCTGTCACCATTAGGTCCCATTCATTCAGGTCTGGAACCCCTAAACAGGAAAGATGCAGAGCTTTTGGAGAAAGTTTAGAGGATAGGCATGAGGATGATCAAGGTGCTGGAGCACATCTCCAGAGAAGACAAGCTAAAGGAGTTAGGCTTGTTCAGCCTGGAGAACAGTGCAGGATCTCATTGTGGTCTTCCAGTATTTAAAGGGAGTTTATAAACATGAAGGGAATCAACTTTTTATGTGGGTAGATAGCAATAGGACAGTGGGGAATGGTTTTAAACTAAACGAAGAGAGATTCAGATTAGATGTCAGGGGGAATTTTTTTTACTGAGAGAATTCTGAGGTGATGGAACAGGTTGCCCAGAACAGGCTGTGGATGCCCTGCCCGTGGAGGTGTTCAAGGCCAGGTTGGATGGGGCTCTGGGCAGCCTAATCTAGTACTTGATCTAGTGGTTGGCAGTTCTGCCTGCAGCAGGGGGTTGGAACTTGATGATTCTTGAGCTTTCTTCCAATCCAAGCCATCTCCTGATATTATGATTCTCTGAAGTAGAGGCAGAATTTTGCTAAATCGAAGGAAGAGTTGGGAACCTTATAGTCTTATCATAGCAGTGATTATTATCTCTAATTTGAGAAGAGGACAAAAAAGAAAGCTTGAGGAACATCTGGAATGGATGTAAAAGCATAAGACAATACCAGAAATTCAAGTAATTGAAAATTACACACAGAGACACAGGCTAGAGTTAAAATCCACATTAATAATTATTAATTAATTTAATTATTAATAATAAAATTAATCCACATTAATAATTATTAATTATTAATTAAAATTAATAATTAATAATTTAATAATAATAAAAAAAAAAATTCCAGGTCAAAAGATATTTTGATCATCCAGTCCCAGAAAAATTATAGAGGTAAATGGAATTACACAGTTGTTTTTCATGTTCATTCAGTAGAGAAATTAAAACAGCTCAAAAAGATCAAATGGAAGAACACACACACTGATGGGGAAGTCCCTACCTAGTATCCAGAAGGAAAGTTTGGCCACAAGTATAACTGATCTCTTATCTTTCAGAGCTTAATTTGACTCATCATTCTAGCTGATGTGCGTCTGCTTGTGATTCAGGGTCCTCTTTGTTGGGAACAACACAGATTAAGGAGGAGGAGGAAATGCTTATACCTCTACCCCCCCCAAAAAAAACAGTACCCATACTTGAACATACAGATGAAATGTGCTCCCAATATACCATCCTGAGTTAAAATATCAGAAACAGCTGCCCAATCCCTGTAGTTTGTAAAACATCTATGTCATTTCTTCCGCCCACTTACTGAATCAGAAGGTGTTTTCCTGTTATTCTGTGTGATTATTATTATTATTTTTAATCCCAGTGGTAGCAGGGATTTTTTGTGGATTCGTGTTCCATCACTCTGGAAAAAAAAAAAAATTCAGCTGAATAATTGATTTTTTTTTTCATGTGATTCTCTTTCTTTTTGTGACAGCAAATATCTCAGTCTGAGTTTCTACTCAGTCTGTAAAAATCAGTTTTTCTTGAAAAACTCCTGAGTTTGTTTCAGCTCAACTCTCAGTTTGCCTGAGATTGTCACAGACAGTAAAACATACTAGTACACTAACAACTGCTATGATTTATCTAACATTCAGTTACTTTGACCAAAAAACCAGATCTGAACAATACTGTCTATATCTTTAAAATGTGATAATGAGATCAGTAATGCCTGGCTATCTACATAGTGAATGTTATTCAAGGTAGGTTTAACCTAACAAAATTAGGCATGTGTTTTATGGTTCTAGAAACATTTGGAACCCACATAACTGTTCTTCACTGGTCTCCTCTGGAGTTATATCTATGTCTCCATTAGGTCAGTAGGGAATGATCAAGGTCTGTCATTTTGTTCTGCAGGCACTTAGGCTTCCGATTAGCTTCATATCTTGCCTCAGTCTGGATACCCATCACTAGGAAACCCAGACATCACTGAAATACATTTCATTTTTGACACTAACAATGACATTGTTCTGTCGGAAAAGAAAAAAAAAACAACCAAATAACCAAAAGAGTAAGGAGGGGAGAGAGGACAAAAGCTGCCTGAAAATGCCAAGGTGACAGTTTTTCTTAGTTTGCAGAGGTAAGACCAAACAATTTATGAACAGATCAATGGAATTGGTTCATTCTGAATTCTAGTACCACGATCTCTATGCTTCTTAAACAACTGAATTTTCACAATGGGACCACTGGGATCTGAGGTGGAGCTCAAAATTGGGCTGGAGAGTAGAGACCAGTCCTGTAAAATCTGTTACAGAGGTAGATGAGCATGTAATCTGGTTACCCAAACCAGACTGAAGTGTGTTGGAAAATAAAGGAGTTCTCTGTAAACTGCATTCTGCATCTACATGTAATGTCAGCAAGTGAATGAGAAGGTTGAAAAATTGGAAAGGTTTCTGATTAGAGGTAAGATGATCACAGTGGTCCTTTCTGGCTTTAATCTTTGGCTCTATGAATAAACAATGAGAGCAGTTAGAGTGTAGAGGAAAACAGGGGGGCCTTACCAGCAGGTGGCCAGTTGGGTTAGCAATAATACTCACTGTTGGAGATCCTAGCTAGTCGGGGTCCACTGTTAATTGGATAGTGCTGAGAACACAAGGATCAGCAAGAAATGATCACATTTTACTTGGAAGCCTGTGGAGGCCTATCACCCATTGCAACTGGGGCACCAGGAAACTTTTAGCAGAGTTGGCATCCGGGGCTCTAATTTGAGAGCTTCTGTGTTTGAGGGAATTAGGAGAGCTGGGTGGATGCTTTTTTTGGCCTTAGGTAAAAAGGTGAATGGGACATCAGGAAAATATATGAGAAATGTGTTTTTGCTCTTGATGCTTACGGTGCTCATGGCTGCAGCATATCAAACTATTATTATCAAACTATCCAACAAACTGTCCAAATATAAAATTATTAGACCAAAGTCACTGCACTAGGAAGGACTTCTAGGACCCATGAACACCCACTTTAACACTCACTTTTCTTTTCACGATGATCCTCATTCCTCTTAATGATAATCTGAAAAAAAAAAAAAAAGCCATTTATATAAAGATGCAGCTCTCTTGCATGTCCAGTACTTGCATCAGAATAAAAGTAATTCAGAAATCAATGTGCATTGAGAGAAAAAGCAATTTCTTAAAAAAAGTTGACTCCAATTGCATGCACTTTTAAGGAAATATGTGGTATATCTTAAAGTAGGTAGTATTGACACAAGAGATTCTTGTGTAATTTGCTTGTGCAAGACTGATATTTTATAGGGAAAATAAAAGGCAAAGAGAAGGGTTAAAACAAAAATTGCGTATATTACATTCTGTTTTGGCATAATAATGCAGCCAGATTGAGTCTCTGAGCATCTATTTTTCAAAAAGCCTCCTGCAGTATTGGCCTGAGCATCCTCTGAACTAGGATATGTATAACATGTAGAGAAAGAGGAGCATCTGCTTAGTTTTCATATAATTCTTCATCAAAATAATTCAAAAAACTATTTTATAAAATTAAAGGGATAACTACAAATAACACTGTTAATGAACAAAATATATAGTTTGATTCTGCCATCATCGTTTCAACAAAAGCATCCACCAAAATGAGGTATTAAGACTTCCCTTTGATTTCATGAAAGCCTTTTCTTAGTGCCATACTAACCACTTTATCTTTGGTTTTATGTATCATGCTTGCTCAGATTTAGCATTCACAGTTAAGCATTGTAGTACCTTTGTAAATTTGTCTATAAACAAATGACTGGAAACCTTCAGTTGTTAAGGTCAGCATTATGATTAATGAGTATAAAAAACCTCCCAGGAAATGTGCTATCCAATTTTGGAACTGAACATTAAAGGACAAATATATACAGAATGTTAATGGAAAAGGAACAAAACTTACACTGACATAACAGTGTTGCTAACTGCATTTGTTGAAGATTTTTTTTTCACTAACTCACCACCTCTTAACACAACTGAAGTTGGGGAAGAGTGACTGTTTCCTTTTGCAAAATGAGGCAGATTCAGTATAGCCACATTTAAGTACCTTTAGCTTGAGGATTACTGATAGCCTGTTCCCCATAAATGTACTGAATTTCAGATATGAGTTCTATTAAGTAATACATCACATATAAGTTAGTATAAGAAGTAATACATCAATATATAATAAAATAAATATGTAGCTAACAATTATGTGAATACTCAGCTTCTTCATGTACAAGGTACTCGGTACTTGATTTTATACATATGTAATCATGGGTAGCACTAGTCAACTCTATGAAAAATGTAAATAGGTTGAAATTATAACTTTTCACAGGAATGTACTAGTTCAGATGAAACTTTCATGGAAAAGGTTTCTTTGCTCCAGAATAGAATTTCTGATAAAAATGAGAGAGAAGACAATAGAGATCAGCATAGTGGTTATAACATAGCCATGGAAATCCAGTCTCTTAACAAACCCAAGTCAGGAAATCATTGCTTCTACAGTCCAGGTTCCCTATTCAAGCACCCTAATCTTGTATTCTCTATCATATCTTCTAAAAGTGTTGGTTTATCTTGTGGAATAAGTTTGAAGTTCCACCAAACTGCAAAGCTGTTTCTCTCTGCTATCCTATCACTTATCATTTTGTAAAGAAAGCTTTGAAAAATAAAGAGTCATGAAACCAATGAGTTCAAGCAAAAATAGTTTTATGAATAAAATTAATAACCACATATTAAAACAACTATTTAGTTGTCAAATAACGATAGGTATTCATATTTAAAGACACATCTGTTAAACCTAGTTTCCACAAAGACAGATATTATAATTCTCATACTTAGCAGTTGCCAACCTTTAATTTATACACCAAACATTACTTAATTTAAAAGAAAACTTGTACCACTGAGTCTGCCTTGTGGCAGATATCAGAATTTAAACAAAATTATTCTTTTTCTCCACTAGGTTGTATCTGAAAATCCATGAAAACTTTAAGATTTCATGTCTTCACAGAAATCTGATTTTGCATTTTATTTTGCTTTAACTACTGTTTTCATATAATTCTTAATTCTGTAGGTTTGTTTGTTTGTTCCGCTTCATACTTACATGGAATTTGCTGTTGGTAGAACAAAAGAAGAACAAAAGGGAGGCAAGAAGAGACCTGCCACTTCCCTTTTCAAGACTACAATGGAAATGGACCCTCTGTTATGCGTTAGTTACTAACAAAATGCACCACTTAGCAGGTACAGGTTCTTAAAAACAGAATAAAAATGAAAAACTAACAAGTGAAAAGAAATGAACAAAAATAACTTCCATTTGATTTACATTGGCTTCTGGCACTACACTATCACCCCTCCTCACCATTTGACTAGTGAATGATAACAGTTTCTAATGTTACCATAAAAACATGGCAAAAGACAAGGAATATTAAAGCAAAGCACATACCTAGTCTGATCAGAAAAAAAAAGAAAAAAATGAGGAGGGTAAGACGTAGTGCTTGAAAGACAAGTAACAACAATTATTTTTCTATTGCTATTCCAATTTAGAGTTCAGCCAATCAATACAATAATTCTAGCCAAACAAGTGCATCTCCATATTTAAGATCAGATGTTCATAACGTATCTCAGAAGTGCCTCTAGCCTCTCCCTCTTTAAAATATCAAATTTATGATTGAGCTTAGCATAATTTCCTTGATATAAATACAATTTCTCTTTTATCCTGTTGACATATTAAAGGTAGACAATCCTAACTTGTTTCTTTGACTTAAATAATTAAAAACCCAGGTACGATTTCCAAAAGTACCTTTCAAAACAAAACTGTATCTGCTGTGATGGTGCTATTACTAACCATCAATGAAAAATCTATTGGAAAACTATATAAAATATTTAAATAGGAATTAAAATTGAAAGAGTAGTCTAGGTATATATTTAGGCTTACACTTCAATAATTTATTATAATTGCAGTAATGTAACAGCGGAGCTGCTACTGCAAATGTAGCTGTAGTATTGCTATGAGAAAATAGCAGGAGTTTATGTAATATATACGTTTCTTAGATACAAATGAAGAAAAAGAAATTGTAAATGTTATTATAGTACTGTGTCCCAGCTCTTCAAAAAGATTTCACTGTAGCCCACACAGCTAAAATTAGGTGGTTCAAGAATATAATAACAGTGTATTTCCTTTCAGATAAATGACAATTTTCTCTCAGTTTCCGAAGAGACTTCCCATGCAGATCTCTCAAATGTGTGAAGCCCAGGGAAAGGCAAGATGAGCACCTGCTCCAAACTCCAGAAATGGGAAAACCACCTGCAACTCTGCAGCTGTGGCCTCCCTCCAAAGTCCCTGCTGCTTCTCCACTGCATCTGGCACACATCCAAAATTGGAACTGCAAACAGACCCTTACAGGACATAAAATGAGCAAAAGGTAAATAATCTTTCTCTTCTGTCCAGTAGTTGTGTTGTGGTTTAAGCCCAGCAAGCAGCTCAGCACCATGCAGCCACTTACTTGCTCTCTGCAAATGGGATGTAGAGAGAATGGGGAAGGTAAAAGACCAGTCCATGACGACTCTATGATTCTATGATGAATCAATGACACTATGATGACACTATGACATTATGAGGACTCTGTGATTCTATGATGACTCATCATTAGTCTTTAACTACATTACCTCTCGTTGATTACTTTATGATGACTTCTTGACTCTTATATCTCTATAATGACTCTAGAATGACTATGAATCTATGACGACTATATCTTGTGGGGTGATGTAAAGAAAATTTCTCAGGGAAAACAGAAGTTGCATACAAAAGCAAAGTAAAACAAGGATTTCCTTCATTACTTCGCATCAGCAGGCAGGGATTCTGCCACTTTCATTAATGCACTTTGGCCAGTTTAGGTCAGCTGTCCTGGTTCTGTGCCCTCCCAACTTCTTACCCCTAGCTCTTCACTGACAGGGCAGCATGATAGCATCCTATACAAGCCTCTACAAAGAAAATTAACTCTATCCCAGACGGTGCATGACATACAGACAGAAAATCAGGTGGAAGATATCACAAGATGACACAAGCTGTCTGGACAAACAATATCTGAAAGGTCACACAACTCTGTATTGTCTTCAGCATTGGTTTCATCTCATTTAATAAATGCACAGTGGTTGTCCTGAGGTAAAACCATTATGATGGTACAGTACAGGAGTTTTAAAAATGAGATGTAGCCAAATCACACATACACACAGTAAAACTAAGCAGATTCTTTGATCGTCGTCAGACAGCATTGTTTAAAAGCTAAATACCTATCAGGAAGATAAAATATAGTACTGAAGGAATGAAAGAAGAGCTAGATTTACATTGTATTCTGGATAAATTTCACCAAAAATCACTCTGAGGCAACTTACTTTCTCTGAGAAGGAGTGAGGACCTGAACAGAAACATCACCAGTGCCATCAGTCAGTGGTTTCTGTATTCAGTGAGACTGAGAATACCGAGACTCACTCAACTCTTCCAGTCTCTCACTTCTACCACCAGACTGATTACTGGAAGAAGTGGAGATGTTCTCGAATTAATACCCATGCAACAGAGATTGGAATTTTGGGCAGAGATTCTATAAGCATTTAGGGCACAATCCACCATCCCCTGAAGTCAATGTCCTTTCAGTACAGTAGTTCTACAGGCTCTTCCATTGTGTTCAAAGAAAGATAAATTAGGCCTGTACCCCTTTCTGAAGCTACACAAAGGGTGACTCATTGTTTTCTTCCTGGAGCCAAACTGAAGATCTTTATTCTTTTTGAAGTTGCAAAAAGCAGTCCCATAAGACGCTAACTTCAAAATAATACTTTGACCCACACATTTTTTAAACAAAGAAAAATAATTTGCAAAGTGAGATGCCATTGTCAGCTCATTCTCACTTCCACAGTTTGATGATTGGCACGTACAATTCTCAGTGAGATCAGCCACCAAAGATACATTTAGAGACCCAGTGCAGGCGAAGCAGCAGGGGGAAGAAAAGGCACTCAGGAGCAGCGTGGTTCCAAGTCAGCTTGAAATGGCTGAGAGACAGCACCACCACAGCATTTAGTCTGAAAAGAGGAAGTGTCAGTTTTCTTCAAGCAGCTCATATTCAGCCTTAGGAGCCATCACCACTCTTCATCTGGGATTGAAGATAGAGTTGATTCCAGGTGGCCTCCTATGAAAAGAAAGTCTATGTTGTCTGTGTCTGATTTCCTCTTCCCCTCAGTAGCTTGAGAACCATTTTGCCAGCTTCAGCTACCTCTGACACAGTGTTAGAAGTATTGAAGATACTGAGTCTCTCCAAAAACAATGGGAGTATACAACCAAGTGAAGGAGAGAAACTCCTGTTTGAGTCCCGAAAACTGGGACTAGCAGGGGGTCGGCTGTCATTTGGACATCTAAGCAACAATGAGATTGAGCTCTTTGGAATCCCCCAGTCATAGGAAAATTTATTGCTTGCCTCTCCTGTTAGCTATCCAACAGAGTATAATGGAGCAGAGCATCACGGAAAGCCACACTGCAGCTTTTTTTGTTGTTAGAAAAGGGTGTTGTATTGTTTTGTTTTTCAGAAAGTCCTTTGAAACCTTACAGCTGGAAAGCCTTCCTGCTGTGTAAGCCTGATGAAATACCTTGTAAATTCTATAAGCCATAATACTTTTTCTTCATCTCCATCTTACTCGAAAGTAAGAATTGACATTAAATGCATACATTTCCAAATTTCACATTAGGCAAGACTAATCTATTGATATTTACAAAAAATGTAATGAGTTCCACATACTCCATAAACTTAGTTGTAGTGATTCTTTATATTAAGAAGATAATTTCACAGCCAGAAGGACTAGCAAAAACTTAGGTTCTGTTTAAAACTTTCTTAAACTCTATAAAATAACTTTATGACCCTGAAGTCAACAGATGTTAAATAATTACAAATAAATAAATAAAAATTCCTACAGATTCAGAGATTAGTTTGAATGATGTTACACTGAAATCTATGCGTTCTCCCAGCACTTTGCAAGCAATAGAAATTGTAATTTAGAGTACTACACTTTTCCAATGTATAGTTTAAACAAGATAGTCAACATGAAATACAAGTTTACTAACATTTTACCTGGACCTATTTGAAGCAAGCAACAAAAAAAGAGCAGCTAGCTATTTATCCTTTTACTACTTTATACGACATTATGCAAGAATAATTTCCCTGGATTATCATAATTAGGCAATACAGATTATACTTTCATTTCAGCCATAAATATTTTCACATTTCCATTTGCACCTATAAGTAGCTCAAGCAATATTTATATTCTTTACACTGGGCCATGTAAAAGCCATAATGAGAGTGAAAAAAGAGAACTGTCGAGATCACTTCTTAGAGCAATAAAAGCTGAAAATCTTACTGAATAAAAAGTACGGATCTCCAGGAGCTCGGAGAGAAATCCAGATCAAAATCCTGAAAAGCCACTCTGGAGTTTGGGTGCCTAATATGCACTGCTGTAGAGATATGAACTGACAGTTTTGCATTTAAAAAATCCATACATATTAGATAGACACCTTAGTTCTGCCCATCTAAAAAAAAAAAAAAATGTTTTTTAAAAATAATGGGAATTCATAATTATCCCAATCCTTTAGTGTGCATTGCTAGTGCACAAAAACTTAATGGGGAGGGAAGAGATATATTTCTGGTTTAATTGTATTTATTCCACTAGTAGGCGAGATTTGCCATCCATCTTACAACTACTTTTGCCTTTGATTTTTCACTTAGATGCTGGTTTTCCTAATCCTTTTAATCATCTATTCTAAGACATGATTTTTTTGCTAAGATCATTAATATATCATAAAAAGCAAAGGTATTTCCCCAGCCAAATTCATCCTGTTTTTCTAAGATGCATTTCAAAAATTACATATTTGCTCCTGAAAATATACATGTTAATTTAGCAACAATCTATTGTTATTAAATATCTATCAAAAAAATAATTGAATTACTTGTGTTTTCTTTTCCTTTTTCCTTCAGTGAACACCTTAGAAAAGGTTGAAAGTTTTGTGCTTTTGACCCCAATATTCAAGTGAAATGTATAGTTTTCCAAGAGAAGAAATTGATAACAAAATCAAAATTCTTTTTTTTTTTTTTTTTTTTTTTTTTTACAGAAAATACATCCCTTTTCCACAATAAAATCAATATCAAAATTGCAAGACCTTTTCTTGGCTTACAGATTCAGGTGTTTTTAAGTAACTCCTTGCCAAAACATTTCCTTCCCCGTTTTTTTCTGAGAAACAGACTACCAGAGGTTTCTCTCTGTCCCTCTTGTACTTAGGTGCCTCTATGACACATGCAAAGCTGACTTCACATCAACTCATTGACTCTGTACTTTTAACAAAATCCTTGAAGGAAAATATTCAGCTGAATTCTTTGTGTCACTGTCCAAATTTCTGTATGGGTAATGCTTCTCCGTTGTTTATAATTAATGGCATTTCATTTTTCTTTTATCTATTCTGAGTGAAAGGTGGTTATCAAGACACAGTACAAGACATACACACTCTCTCTTCTATCCCAATATTAAATGTGCCCTTGGCCTTCATATAAAAAAGAACAGTAATTTCCGCCATGGTGTGATTGAAAAAGGAAGTCGTGGTTACCAGATGATACAAATTAAACATCAATATGACTGCATGATGGTTCTAATTGGTTTTACAACTGTCCAAGTATGCCTCACCGCTTCCCACCCAATTTACTTTCCACATCCCAGGATGGGCATCTTTCACTGAGCCCCCAAGGAACATTTCTTGTTGCTGTGAATTGTGCTGACTGAAACAGGTCTTCCTCATTTTGTTCTAATGGAAAATTCATCTCTGTCACAGGAATATCCTGCCATCAGTCTGCATCAAGAGCTCACGTTGAAATCAATGGGAGCTCCATATGCATCGTGCAGGTAGGATATCATCACCATCATTTATTAAACACTAATGGAGTCCAGGACTCAGACCATTAAAAGTCAGTCTAGATGCAGTCAGTAATAAAATCAGTGACTCTTTGGGAGTGGTGGTACTTTTTTTAAATTCTCTATTTCTTTGCTTTGTTTCCACTATATTTAGCATGAGAATTGGCTGGATTTTTCCTTCAACACCAGTAAAATATTGAAACTATTTGGGCAGCCCAACTTAAAAACTGTAGCATAATAAGATGACTTCCAGAAGATGACCTGCATTAAAGGCAGAGTCAAGTTAGTCCTGTGTTGATGTCTGTAACATGACAGATAGTGTGATAGGGATGAAAATTTTGCAATTTGTCTTGGATCTCTCATGAAGATCTTCCAGGACAATTAGAATAAGTGAGAATCAAAGTTTATTTTATTACTCATAAAGTGAATCCATCTCTCCATCTTGTACAAATTGTGATGTTTTTTCTTTTGTTTCCTCCCAATTAAAAACAGTCTGTGAAGCTCCTGATTTGTTCTCAGTTTTCTGTGCTTGTCTTTGTCTGCCTTGGTGATCACAGGACTTGACTAAGGTGGGGACAGCAGCTCGTGATGTGGAATCATTTCAAAGACTGTTTAGTCCAGAAATTGGTCTCCTAAAGCACCAAGATGATGTAGATTCTCAGCACATTGCTTTTGATCCAGCTAAGTCTATGTATTCT